ATTGACACCCTATCGTCAAAACTGAAAGAGCTAGAGGAACAAGATCAAAAAACCTCAAAGTCTTGCAGAAGACAAGAAATAGCTAAGATCAGAGCAGAACTGAAGGAGATAGAGACACAAAAAACCCTTCAAAAAATCAATAAATCCAGGGGCTCGTTTTTTGAAAAGATCAACAAAATAGACAGACCACTAGCCAGATTAATAAAAAAGAAAAGAGAGAATAACCAAATTGATGCAATAAAAAACGATAAAGGGGATATCACCACAGATTCCACAGAAATTCAAACCATCATCAGAGATTATTACAAACAACTCTATGCACACAAACTAATAAACCTGGAAGAAATGGATAAATTCCTGGACACTTGCCTCCTGCCAAGCCTAAACCAGGAAGAAGCCGAAACCCTGAACAGACCCATAACAAGGTCTGAAGTTGAGGCAGCAATTAAGAGCTTACCACCCAAAAAAAGCCCAGGTCCAGATGGGTTCACAGCTGAATTCTACCAGACATACAAAGAGGAGCTGGTACCATTTCTTCTGAAACTATTCCAAACAATACAAAAAGAGGGAATTCTTCCCAAATCATTTTATGACACCAACATCATCCTGATTCCAAAACCCGGCAGAGACTCAACAAGAAAAGAAAACTTCAGGCCAATATCCATGATGAACATAGATGCAAAAATCTTCAATAAAATACTGACAAGCCGATTGCAACAGCACATCAAAAAGCTTATCCACCATGATCAAGTAGGCTTCATCCCGGGGATGCAAGGCTGGTTCAACATACGCAAGTCTATAAACGTAATTCACCACATAAACAGAACCAAAGACAAAAACCACATGATTATCTCAATTGATGCAGAGAAGGCCTTTGACAAAATTCAACAGCCCTTTATGCTAAAAACACTCAATAAGCAACGTATTGATGGAACGTATCTCAAAATAGTAAAAGCTATTTATGACAAACCAACAGCCAATATCATACTGAATGGGCAAAAACTGGAAGCATTCCCCTTGAAATGTGGCACCAGGCAAGGATGCCCTCTCTCACCACTGCTATTCAATATAGTATTAGAAGTTCTAGCCAGAGCAATCAGGCAAGAAAAAGAAATAAAGGGCATTCAAATAGGAAAGGAGGAAGTCAAATTGTCTCTATTTGCAGACGACATGATTGTATATCTAGAAGACCCCATCGTCTCAGCCCCAAACCTCCTGAAACTGATAAGCAAGTTCAGCAAAGTCTCAGGATACAAAATCAATGTGCAAAAATCACATACATTCCTATACACCAATAACAGACTTAAAGAGAGCCAAATCAAGAACAAACTTCCATTCACAATTGCCACAAAAAGAATAAAATACCTAGGAATACAATTAACAAGGAATGTAAAGGACCTCTTCAAGGAGAACTACAAGCCACTGCTCAACGAAATAACAGAGGACACCAACAGATGGAGAAACATTCCATGTTCATGGTTAGGAAGAATCAATATCGTGAAAATGGCCATACTGCCCAAAGTAATTTGCAGATTCAATGCTATTCCCATCAAGCTACCAATGACCTTCTTTGCAGAACTGGAAAAAACCACCTTAAACTTCATATGGAACCAAAAGAGAGCCCGCATAGCCAAGTCAATTCTAAGCAAAAAGAACAAAGCGGGGCGCAATCACACTAACAGACTTCAAACTATACTACAAGGCTACAGTAATCAAAACAGCATGGTACTGGTACCAAAACAGAGATATAGACCAATGGAACAGAACAGAGGTCTCGGAGGCAACACAACATATCTACAACCATCTGATCTTTGACAAACCAGACAAAAACAAGCAATGGGGAAAGGATTCCCTGTTCAATAAATGGTGTTGGGAAAGCTGGCTAGCCATGTGTAGAAAGCAGAAACTGGACCCCTTCCTGACACCTTACACTAAAATTAACTCCAGATGGATTAAAGACTTAAACATAAGACCTAACACCATAAAAACCCTAGAAGAAAATCTAGGCAAAACCATTCAGGACGTAGGTGTAGGCAAGGACTACATGACCAAAACACCAAAAGCATTGACAACAAAAGCCAAAATAGACAAATGGGACCTAATCAAACTCCACAGCTTCTGCACAGCAAAAGAAACAATCATTAGAGTGAATCGGAAACCAACAGATTGGGAAAAAATTTTTGCAGTTTACCCATCTGACAAAGGGCTGATATCCGTAATTTACAAAGAACTAAAGCAGATTTACAAGAAAAAAACTAACAAGCCCATTCAAAAGTGGGCAAAGGATATGAACAGACACTTCTCAAAAGAAGACATACGTGAGGCCAACAAACATATGAAAAAATGCTCATCATCACTGGTCATCAGAGAAATGCAAATCAAAACTACACTGAGATACCATCTCACGCCGGTTAGAATGGCGATCATTAAAAAATCTGGAGACAACAGATGCTGGAGAGGATGTGGAGAAATAGGAACACTTTTGCACTGTTGGTGGGAGTGTAAATTAGTTCAACCATTGTGGAAGACAGTGTGCCGATTCCTCAAGGACCTAGAAATAGAAATTCCATTTGACCCAGCAATCCCATTACTGGGTATATATCCAAAAGATTACAAATCGTTCTACTATAAGGACACGTGTACACGAATGTTCATTGCAGCACTGTTTACAATAGCAAAGACCTGGAACCAACCCAAATGCCTATCGACGATAGACTGGATAGGGAAAATGTGGCACATATACACCATGGAATATTATGCAGCCATCAAAAACGATGAGTTTGGGTCCTTTGTAGGGACATGGATGAACCTGGAAACCATCATTCTCAGCAAACTGACAGAAGAGCAGAAGATCAAACACCGCATGTTCTCACTCATAGGCGGGTGTTGAACAATGAGAACACATGGACACGGGGAGGGGAGCACTACACACTGGGGTCAGTTGGGGGGAAATAGGGGAGGGACGGTGGGGGGTGGGGAGCTGGGGAGAGATAGCAAGGGGAGAAATGCCAGATGTAGGTGATGGGGAGGAAGGCAGCAAATCACACTGCCACGTGTGTTCCTATGCAACAATTTTGCATGTTCTTCACATGTACCCCAAAACCTAAAATGCAATAAAATAAATAAATGGGAAGAAAAAAAAAAGTGCTTTGAATCAAAAAAAAAAAAAAAAACAAAGAATCAGGCCCTTATAAATAATACAAATTGCTAAAAAGACTCATTAATACCTGCTTCCAGAATTTTTCCAACATTTATTCACTCAAAATCTATTTGTATAGAATTTTCCCAGATTGTTAACCAAATGGATAATTAGTTCATAGGAGTGCTAAAACTAAATTATTAAAAGAACTCCTATCTGTATTATTATTAACTTTATGAATTTCAGTGTTTAAAACTGACATCCTGATTATGCTAAAGCTCTACAAATTTAATAGATATACTGTGATAGTTCATCATATATCTTCAACTGAAAAATAATGTTTAGGATTTGCTACTATTCTAATTGAGAAAACCCAACTTGTAATGAACATATGTTGACACATAATCACCTGCATGGTGACTAAGGGACATGAAATCATGAAAGGGTCAGCCTCTACTTATTGAAAGATTACCCATGAGCAAATTTCTAAAGTCTCTCTGAATGGCAGTGAATGATTAATGGTAGGATTTCAAAAGTGTATCCGAACCTTGAGGTTTTCTGTTTGTTTGTTTGTTGCTGTTATTATTGTTAGAGACAAGAGTCTCACTATGTTGCTCAAGCCAGACTCAAACTATTATGCTCAAGCTCGGACTACAGGAACATGCCACTGTGCTCAACTTCAAGAAAACATTTTTAAACATTTTCAGGGCTTATTAGATCTATTACATCAAAATCTTCAGGGGAAAGCCTACAATTTCAGACTTTTAACAAAATTTCCTCAGGTCACTATAATGTACAATTCTGAGAATTAGTGCAGCAGACAATCACTTCAGTCTCATCTCTCACCCACGTGGCTAATTCCCTTTATCAGTTGGAGATGTGGCCAAAAATAGAAAAGAGTAAGAAACAGAGTCATTTATTAAAACTCCAGTTAATTTTCCTGGGTATGGGTATAACAGGGACAAGTAAACTCAAAACCCAACTTGATTTTGCTATTTATAAGCTCCTTATCTCCCACCTTCCTACCAAGACATTCTAGATTTGAGAGGAAACTTTAGACTCTCATCTAAGTGGCTGTGTCTGCCAGCATAGGTAATAAGTCAGTTAATAATTTGTTCCACATTCTGCAGAAGTGTTTCTCACTTTGTCACCACGTATTCACTGCCAATCTGATTTCCTCACAGTCATCCTAAAATTAATCTCTAGGCAAGTTTCAACTCACTCTCTTTTTCAAACAAAAGATTATTATACCCGAAGTTAAAGAGCTCCTTGTCTCAACACATAAACTGGAAGAACAACAAACTAAAAAAACAAATGAACAAACAAACCTCTTCTTGGCATTTTCCCCTCATTACCTAGTTTCCAAGTGACTTGAATATTCCTGATTGCTCTCCCTTTCCCTATCCATATTTCCCTCTTAAGCCTTGCCATTGACAGATAATACATCAGTTTTTTAGAAAATCAGCAGCAGCAGCAGCAAGATTTCTATTTATCGTAAGTTGCTTTAGTTTTGTTTGAGTTTTAAGATAAAGCTTATTTCCAGGGCATATTTTCTTTCCTGTGTTGTTTTACACTAATTAGGAAAAAAATCATAACCCTGCATAGAAAAAAATTGAAAAGGTTTTACCTTTAACAAATTCACAAGTATTTTCCAAAGGGCATTTAAAAAAGCTGTGCCCTTTAATGCTTCTTTAAAAGCATCCACATTTAAAATAAAGTCTTAGACAATTAAGTCATTTCAAAATAACTTAATTTGCATTTGTATTCAGGGAATGTTTGAGCTTCCAAATATGAAAAATTGACCCTTACCTCTGGCAATGTCAACAGAAATCTTTTGAAAAGAAAGTTGATTGATCTCTACCTGGTCCGATGCTTCAATATCTGCACGATAGGAAAGCAGTATTTCTATCAGTGGTGCACTGTTCCGCATCGCAGCATAAAAGAGAGCAGGGTGGTTGAACATATCCCGAAGATGTGGATTGGCGTTGTGCTCCAGAAGAATACAGGCACAATTTTGATGCTGGCAATTCACAGCCTGTCCAAATTAGATCAAAATATAAATTGTAAGTTCTAAGAATTCAAAATACACATTCCACAGGTTTCACCAACTAGTTATACTTAAATGAGATAAATTTACTTTAATTCTACATATGTAAATCAAATCCATGTCATGCTGAAAGAGTTGGCTACTATATACCAGCATCAAAGGCGTCCTGTTTCCACTGTCACGGCTGTTAATGTTGCACTTTCTGTTTACCAGAAGAGTGACCACATCCTCATGGCCACGTTCACAGGCCCAATGTAGAGGAGTTCTATGAGAGTAAGAGGACTTTTTAGGAAATTGTAGTGCAATATCTCAAAACATACAAGTGTTCAATTGTAAACATTTAATAGCATGCTTTTCCTCTGTTTTCAAAATAAATAATTTTTTTAAGAAAGTACAATACTTATTAGCTCTTATTGCTCACTACCTTGATGAAATCAGCAGCCTATTTGAATAGAAAAAGCTTAGTCTTTGGATTCAGTTCAACTAGGGCTTGAGTCCTAATTTAAACTCTGTCACTTACCAACTATTGCTTTGCCTTTCTGTGCCTCAGCTTCCTCATTAATCAAGTAAAGATGACAATAGTAGCTATCACAATTGTCATGCTTAAATGAGAAACTAGGTGAAGTATTCAGAATAGTTCCTACAACAACAACTCAATAATTGTTAGATTTTTGTTTTGTGAGACAAGGTCTCACTATTTTGCCCAGGCTGGAGAGCAATGCTGTAATCATTCCTCACTGTAGCCTGGAACTCCTGGGCTCAAGTGATCCTCCATCCCCAGCCTCCTGAGTAGCTGGGACTACAGATGTGCACCAGCATGCCCAGCTATTCATTTAAAAATTTTGGTAGAGTAAGACTCTCACTTTGTTTCCCAGGCTGGTCTCAAACTCCTGGCATCAAGTGATTCTCCCACCTCAGCCTCCCAAAGTTCTGGGATTACAGGTGTGAGCCACTACATCCAGCCAGATATTATAATTATCACTATTAGTACTACTTAACAAAAACATTTGAATTAAGTAAAATGATACAATTATACCTACTTTGCAGGATGACTTATAAAGAGTAAGCCACATTTTCACACCTCTGACATTGGAATGCCATTTATAATTCATGGTTTATTATAACTATAATTTGTAGCATTTTAAAAATTATTATATTGATATATACAACAATGGGACATCACACAATTCACGAGACCTTACACTAAGTAGAATATGATATACTGAGCAGGTCTAGGGCAGTTCTAGGCATATAACTGGCACTTAAATACATTTTAGTTCTTAAAGGTACTATGGGGAAAGAGCCCTGAAATAACAATAATACATTTTTTAAACAAGTTAATTCTTTGCTTTTCAAACAATGTGAAGACAAAAAAGTCATAATTTAAATGAACATGCATAGCTCACGTTATTCAATGCTTATTTTTAAAAAATATATGCAAATAAGACCTCCCAATGATTAATACTAGTATTTAAGACTGATAAACTTTTGAAAGGGCAGTTAAAGGTTATCTTCTGCTATTTTCTAACTTCAGAAATGCTTTTTTTTGAAAGGTGGGAGACAAAGCTTCAATGAGATTACTTCCTAATATTCCCATTTTAAATCTCTCAGCTTGTGCCGGCAGGGCAGGTAAACATGAAGTTTTTAAAAATAGAAGAGTCTTGAGAAATAGTAGAACATGTTACATACAGGTACTCTGCTACATAACAGGTACTCAAGTTATGTTTGATGAATAAGTGAAATGAAAGAACGGATAAATACAGTCGATGAGTTCAATGTTTTTAAGTTAACTCCTGTAAAGCAATATTTTAACAATAGTAATTATATTTGTTATTTTTAAAGAATACAATTAAAATGAAATGATTAATCTATCACTGTTTGCATAAATTGAATGAAACGACATGTAAGTAAAATATATGTACAAAATAAAATATACACATAATAAAATTTGGAAACACAGATAAAAACATACCCTTTTTATTTCTCAAGAGGCTAAAAATTTAAAGAAGATAGCAGCACACACAATAATAATAATGTTAAAAAATAGAAAGTGAGAAATTATTTTTATCTGTGCAAGATTCATGTTTCTCTCTTCCCAAAGATTATTTCATTAATAATAAACATTTACTCTAAGTTTTGTACATATTCAATGCAACAATCAGGGATAAGGAAAAGGATAAAAAACTTTGCTTAATATGCAAATGATCAGAAACTACAAATTTGATGATACTTTGTAAATATTTTTTGGTAAAACAAGACCATAGTATGTTTGTGTGTATGTATAATCAAACTACTTTTTTCATCACTGGCTACAACAGAATACATCTTTGCACATCAACGTACTTCTATACCTATTGTCACCTTCAATGGTCACATATTATTCCATCCTATGGATTCAACTGAATTTATTTATAGAATCCAGTCTATGGGTTCTTTATAAAATAAGTGCTGTGAAAAATAAAATGCATGTATCTCTATTTCCAAAGAGTATTTTAGTATAACGGAGTTGACGGGTAAAGGGCATACACATTTTTAAAATGTAGTACTTACAACCAAATTATCTATTTGAAAAGTCATCAGCAACTTGAACTTTAAGCAACAGTATAAAACATTCTCACAAACGTTGTGGTTAGAAAATAGTTTCATTCCTCTTTTAAATTCTTATACCAGAAATGCAAAGGATGTTTTCCTGTGTACATAAAGTAAATTGTACATCTGCAAATAAGTACCTTGACCACTTTTAGAGTTTTTGATTATTTGATTTGAAAGAATTCCCTGTAAAATGAGGATGTATTTTTCATCTAATGCGTATACATACATATAACTTTTCATCTAATATATATATACTGATATATATATAACATATTTTATCTGTAATACATATGTTATACATATCAGTAATATGTATATCATATGATCCATAATGAAGAATATAGGCCGGGCACAGGGGCTCACACCTGTAATCCCAGAATTTTGGGAGGCTGAGGCAGCAGATCACTTGAGGTCAGGAGTTTGAGACCAGCCTGGCCAACATAGTGAAACCCATCTCTACTAAAAATACAAAAATTAGCTGTGTGTGCTGGCACATGCCTGTAATCCCAGCTACTTGGGAGGCTGAGGCGGGAGAATTGCTTAACCCCAGAAGGCAGAGGTTGCAGTGAGCCAAGATTGTGCCATTGCACTCCAGCTTGGGCAAAGAAGTGGCACTCGATCTCAAAAAATAATAGTAATATAAATTCCTTGTAAAATAAAAACATACTTTTCATCTGAATATATATACATGTAATATAGTAAATATTTTTCAAGTACGATTTCTTTTATTTTGTTAATTTTTTCCTGAAACACAGTTTTAATTTTTAGTTTGCTAAATTAACCTTCAGAATGCCTGTTTGTGAGGTCATTCTTAGGAAGGCCTTTGACAACACAAAATGTGCCTGTAAAATAAGCATTTGTGTTTTCTTCTGGTACTTTTCTCATTTGCATATGTAGAAATTTCAATCTGTATTCCATCAGAAACTCGTGTTTGTGACATGAAATTTCATTAGTTTTGGTTCAAACAGCAAGCATTTTTTTCATTAATAATTCATCCTTTCCTACTTATAACTGTTAACATTATTAATTCTTATATATATCTTACATAATTTTAGTATTTCTAGATTTCCTAGTCTGTTTCATGCATTTATCTGTCTTTTCGGCTGTTAGTAAACAATTAATTGTGAAAATTAATAGCACATTTTGATATCTAGAGGAGGTACTGTTTTTTCACTCCATTATACAATTTTTTAAATGTCATCACAATAGTAAAAGACAGCAGGTGTCATGCAAAAATGTTAAAACTTTGATATTTTCTTTTGGTTTATGTTAAATTGGTAAACACCGTAAGAGCTCACAGTTTGAGAAAAAAGTGTCTTTCCACTCAAGAACACAGAACCCATGTACCACTTCCAAGTTTCCCTCTAAGGACCTTCAGTAAAGAACCTATCTCCACAGGTGGGTACGGATGTAAAACTGATAGTTTTATCTGAGAATGAGTCATGGTATTTTTGATAGGGGAATGAGTTCTCTCGTTAGGCACCTACTATAATGTATATAACAGCACGTTTTTGGTTTGTGTTTTTTGGGAGGGTGAAAAAATGTAATTTATTGAAACTCAACTCAGAAAATATAAGATGCTGTAGTAAACAATATATTACACAAAGCACCCTCAAGTGCACATTCAAGTCAAGTAAGAAGTCCAGGTCTCTTTGCCTAGCCCTCCCACCCTGTGTCCTTAGTATATATATATCTTAATGGTTACCTATGAATAACTAAGATCATCTGTGAATAACTACTATAGATGTATCTCTAGTTATTTTCTTCTTCATTATTTGTACAGGAACAGGCTGAGGCTTCTGGCTTCTGCCTCAGCACTTGTGGGGTCTCCAACCCACACTCCTTATATACTTGATTTTGTGAGTTAAATCACTCAAATTCTGCACCTACTGCTCCCGCCAGGAAATTGTGAGGGACGGAAAGCAGCTGAGGTTCTGTTTGGTTTTGTTTGGCTCCGCCGCTGGGAGGGTGCCTGACGCCCTCCAAGGCCCGGCCCAGGGCCTGCGGGGAAGCGCGCCTGGGGACTCCCTCCCAACCCGGGCTGAGTCGGCTACCTTCCGTGATTGTCTGGGGCGTTCAGGTTTTTGCTACTGAGTGCCAGGAAGCGCTCCACCTCAGCGACGTTGCCCTTGGCAGCCGCCTGGTGGATGTCGTCCAGTTCCTCCACCTGTTCCCCCCGGCGGCTGCGGCGCCAGAAGCGAAACAGCTTCTTCATGGTGGCGACTTCTCAGACCCCCAACCTCTGGCTCCTGAGCCGGGGCAGCTCCCTGTCACCTCGTCACCGCCCCGACCCCGCAGACCCCGCCCCCGCCCCCGCCCCCAATCCCCGATCCAACCCAGATCCCGATCCCACTCCCAATCCGCGATCCCCAAATCTGAGATCTAGCTCAGAATCCGCGATCCAGCTCGGTCCACCACAGCCTTCAGCAGCGACACTCGCAGCCTCCGACCTCTCAGGCCGAGTGAGCCTCGCAAAGCCGTTGGGCGCGCGCCTGCACCGCGGTGGCCGTTGGGCTTCCGGAAGCCGCTCCCAGGCAGGCGGCGCGCGACCGCAGGTGCGGCTGCAGCTCCGGGCGCCGCTGGGCTCGCCCGGGCGGCCCCAGGATCTCAGGTGTAGGATCGCAGTTGCAGGATCACAGGTGCAGGATCGCAGGTGCAGGATCTCAGGTGCAGGGTCGCAGGCGCAGGACCGCAGTTGCAGGATCACAGGTGCAGGATCACAGGCGCAGGACTGCAGTTGCAGGATCACAGGTGCAGGATCACAAGTGCAGGATCGCAGGTGCAGGATCTCAGGTGCAGGGTCACAGGTGCAGGATCACAGGTGCAGGATCACAGGCGCAGGACCGCAGTTGCAGGATCACAGGTGCAGGATCACAAGTGCAGGATCGCAGGTGCAGGATCTCAGGTGCAGGATCACAGGTGCAGGATCGCAGGTGCAGGATCTCAGGTGCAGGGTCGCAGGTGCAGGGTCGCAGGCGTGCCTCCCGCCCGGCCTGAGGAGGAGGGCCTGTCTGGCCCTGCAGCATCTTCAGGTGCAGGCACGGGCACTCTGCACCACCGGAGTGGCTTCGCAATGGCCGGGCTTCAGCACTGAGGCTCTGGCACTGTAGTCTGTGTGGTTGGTGTCAGGTCGCTGGCCTAGCCCCCACAGTGAGGGACAGCAGGCGCTGAACAGGGGCTGGCACGGGGCTGAGGTTGGCTCCCGCTCTCCTGCAGCTGTGCAGTGGACAGCCCGAATGAGTTGCCAGGGAGTGCCGGGTCCTGGTGTCCACGGCACTGGGGGCTCAGGCAGGCTTGGAGGTCACCACCTGTGCTGCCGAGTGCCCTGTGCAGGTGGCAGCTGCAGCTGAACCCATGGCAGAGGCTGGCCCCAGATGGCCTGAGAGTCGCCCAGTGCACCACCTAGGGTCCACCTTCCTTGGCCCCGCCCAGAGTGCGGGGTCCAGGCGCTGGGCGCTGTGCAGCCTCAGGGATGGGGCTGAGCGCCGGCTCTCGCCCTTCTGCAAATTAGGCGCCCGGTTGCATCTGGCCCTGGGAGCCGCAGTCCTGGTGCCTCAGGCAGGCTCCGGGTTGCACTGCTCCGGCCCTGCACCATTTGCAGGTTGAGCCCTCAGCACAGGCTGGCAGGGCTGGTTCCAGAGTGGTTGCTGAGTGCACCGCTCTCCCTTTCTAGGGTCCCCTCCTCTTTGACTCACGTCCAGGGCGCCGGTCAGGGGCGCTGGGTACCCTGCAGCCACTGAGATGGGGCTGAGCATCAATTCCCGCCCTCCTTATGCTGCAGGGCCTGATTTGGGCGTCACAGCGGGGTCTGGCCCTTGGGTCCACCTTGTTGGTGGAGGAGGGCAGGATCAGGGGTTGCCATTGCTGCTGCCACAAGCCATCTACAGGTGACAGGTGCAGTAGAATGAAAGGCGGAGGCCACAGGGCTGCTCTCAGACAGCCTGAGCATAGTCCAATGCACCTTCCCCCACCCTAAGGTCCCTGCTTCCTTGGCCGAAGCACAGAGCGTGGGTCTCGGGCTCTGGGCCCACTGCAGCCCCCAGGATGAGGCTGAGCGTGGGTTTCCACCCCCTTGCAGCTACGTGGCGGACCACCTAAATTAAGCGCCATGGCCACACCTGGCCCTGGGCTTCCTGCTGCTGGTGGGGGAGGACAGGGCCAGGGGTTGCCACTAATACTGACTCGCGCCATTTCCAGGTGACAACTGTGGCTGAGCCCATGGTAGATGCTGGAGGGGCTGCTCCCCAGGGGTCTGAGGGTCGCCAAGTGTACCGCCCTCTCACCTGAGTGTCCACTTTTCCTTGGCCCTGGCCCAGAGCATGGGTTTGCGGGCACTGGGCACTGTGCAGCTGCAGAGTTGTGACTGAGTGCCTCCTTCCCTCCCGCACCTGCAGGCTGACCATGGCAGTGTCCAGTACTGGGTTCTACGCTACTGGGGCCAGTGTCTGGGTTTGCCACTGCTGCTAACCCATGCTACATACAGGCCGCTGGGCAGCTGATCCCATATCACAGAGTTCTAACAATGAATTCTTTTTAATTTCTATTTTTATTTGATTCAGGGGTACATGGACATGTTTGGTTTGGGGTATGCTTGAAACTGTCACCCAGGTAGTGAGCATAATACCCAATAGGCAGGTTTTCTTGCCTTCCTTTCTGCCTCCCTCCTTCTGGCATTCCCAGTGTTTGTAATTTCCATCTTTATGTCCATAAATACCCAATGTTTAGCTTCCACTCACAAGTGAGAACACACAGTATTTGTGATTCTGCATTAATTCTCTTAGGATAATGGCCTCCAGCTACATCCATGCTGCAACAGACCTGATGTTGTTCTTCTTCATGGCTGTAGTGTATTCCATGCTGTATCTGCACATTTTCTTCATCCAATTTGCCTTGTATGGGCACCTAGGCTGATTGCATATCTTTGCTATTGTGAATAATGTTGCAATGTGCATGCAAGTGTATGTGTCTTTTTGGTAGAATTATATCTTTTCCTTTGGGTAGACACCCAGCAATGGGATTGCAGGTAGTTCTAACTAAAACCTGTAGTTTTGTTTTCAGTTATTTGATAAGCCTCCAAACTTCTCCCCACAGTGGATGAACCAATTGACCTTCCCACCAGCCGTGAATAAACATTCCCTTTTCTCTGCAGCCTCACCAACATCTGTTATTTTTTGATGTCTTAATAGCCATTCCAGGCTGGGCGCGGTGGCTCACGCCTGTAATCCCAGCACTTTGGGAGGCCCAGGTGGGTGGATCACGAGGTCAGAAGTTCAAGATCAGCCTGGCCAACATGGTGAAACCCTGTCTCTACTAAAAATACAAAAATTACCCGGACACAGTGGCAGGCACCTGTAATTCTAGCTACTCGGGAGGCTGAGACAGGAGAATCACTTGAACCTGGGAGGTAGAGGTTGCAGTGAGCCGAGATCAAGCCACTGCAGTGTAGCCTGGGTGACACAGCAAGACTCCATCTCAAAAAAAAAAAAAAATAGCCATCCTGGTGTGAGATGGTATCTCATTGTGGTTTTCATTTGCACGTCTCTGATGATTAGTAATGAGCATTTTTTCATGTGTTTGCTGGCCACTTGTATGTCCTCTGTTCCTGTCCTTTGAGCATAAAAGTGGATTAATTGGATCAAAGGCCACGAACATTTTAAAAGCACAAAGCATATACTTAGAAATCTCCTTTTTGAAAGGTTGTAGTAATCTACCCTCCCTCCAACTCAACAGTGAGAAGGCCCATCTTAGCATCTTAGACTTGTCACCAAAATGTGAATAATCTCTTATTTTAGTTTCAGGCTTTTTGGTTTTGTTTGTTTGTTTTTTGAGGCAGAGTCTGGTTCTGGTGCCCAGGTTGGAGTGCAGTGGCATGACCTCGGTTCACTGCAACTTCCACCTCCCAGATTCAAGCAATTCTCCTGCCTCAGCCTCCTGAGTAGCTAGGATTATAGGTGTGCACCATCACACCTGGCTAATTGTTTTAGTTTTAGAAGAGACAGAGTCTGGCCATGTTGGTCAGGCTGGTCTCGAACTCCTGGCTTCAAGTGATCCACCTGCCTCAGCCTCCCAAAGTGCTGGGATTATAGGTGTGAGCCACAGTGCCCAAACTAATTTCTTTTCTAAAATGTGGTATCTCATTATTTTAGATTTTTGTTTCTTTGAGTACCTGTGAGGTTGAGTACTGTTTAATGCCTGTTTCTTCTTCAGTAAAGTGCCTCTTTGAGCCTTTTGCAGCAGGGTAGATGTAGTCAATCCCCCTAAGTGAGGAGGAAATGGAAACTCGGAGAGGTTAAGTGACTTGTTCAAGATGGCCCACCCATCTACCCTCTGAGTGGAACAATTTAGAAATCAGACATCCAGCTTCTTCATCTTCTGTTGGTGAACAGAAGACTAGGTCCTCAAACATGGACTGGGTATACTTAGGAAAACACCAGAGAGTCACCCTGGGGACTCTGTATCCAGGCTCAGGAAGCCTGGGAGGCTTTCTGGAGCAGGACTCTCTGTGAGCTGAGCAAATGGCAGGAGTGACAGGACTGGGGTGCTGACCAGGAATGCAGTATTGATAGACAGCAGTGGTGAAGCCGGCTTCTTCCTAAGGTCTCACTCCTGCCTCCCACTCCCATTTCCCTGTGGCTTGCTCTTTCAACAGCTTGCCCACTACACCAAGGAAGGCTTTCTGCACCTGGGCACCCTGGGGACCACCACACTCCTTCCTGACACCCGCTGCCTGGTTGACAACTCTAAGAGCCTGCTGCCCCAGCTCCTGGACTGGGACAAGGTCAAGAGCACCCAGTACAAGTGCTGGAACTTCTTCCAGGTGAACACTGTATGGACCAGGCCAGCACCCAGAGTAGGGGCAAGAGGCTGCAGACCACAGAGGGGAATCCCGCTTCCCCAGGGATCCCCAACAAAGTGCAACCCTGAGCCCAGATCTCCCCGCCCCGGGCTGGGCTTGTATTCCCAAGGCACTTCCTGAGGACATCTGTGGAGTTTCTGCATGAGCAGCATTTCTGATTCCTACCTCAGTGCTAGGCTGTGATCAATTCTGATCATTTCTGATTCCCACCTCCTTTGAGCTCTGATCAATCCTGAGAGAGTAGTGAGGAGGGACTTCCCTGAAATTCACTAAGTACCCACAGCCAGTGGGCCTGAGAATATCAGACCAAGAATGTCCCAGGAAACTCCCCAACCCGACCCCATCCCCACCAATGCTCCTCACCTGATTCAGACACTCAAACCCAGAGAAGCTTATTTAGGTTCTGACTTCAACGTGTGCAGAGGAGGTCTCATGATTCCCTGTCCCAGCTCCATGAAAAGAACTTCGGTGGAATTGATTTTCTGCAAGAAGCTATGTGCCAGGCACCATGATGGTTAAGCCTTTCTCCCTCTCTTTCTTTGTCTCTCCTTCTCTGTCGCTCTCTCTCTCTATCTCTCTCTCTCTTCCTCTCCCTCTCCCTCCCTCTCTCCACCTTTCTCTTCTCTTTCTTTTCTCTCCTCTCTCCTCTTTTCTCCCTCTATCTTCGCTCTTTCCCTCTCCTTGCTTTTTCCTTTCTCTCCACTTTCTCTTTCCCTTTCCCTCTCTTCTCTCTCTTCCCTCTTTTTCTATCCCTATTCCCTTTGCCTTCTCTTTGTCTCTTTTCTTTTCTTTCTCTCTCCTGTATCTTTCTCTTTTTCTTCTGTCTGTCTCCTCTTTCTCCTCTCCCCTCCTTTTTTCTCTCCTCTCTCTCTGTCTTCTCTTTGTCTCTTTCTCTGTCTCTCTCTTCTTTTCCTTTTTTTCTTTCTCATTTTCTCTCTCCTGTCTTTTTCCTCTATCTCTCCCTCTCCCTTTCCCTCTCTCTCTCCTCCTCTGTTCTTGATGTTGTCCCCTTCCAGAATGGAGCCATCATGAACAAGGGCATGGGGCGCTGCCTGGAGGTGGAGAACTGGGGCCTGGCTGGCATTGACCTCATCCTTTGCAGCTGCACAGGTCAGAGGTGGACCATTAAGAACTCCATCAAGTAGAGAGAGGAAGCGGGGCACTGGAGCCTGGCCCCCAGGACCAGCCAACCTCTGGACCAGCCACCCTGGCAGAGAGACAGCAAGGGGTTGGCAGGTGCTCGGCAGGCTCCCCAGGGCTCTTCCAAGGCAGCACGGGGACCCCAGATGGATACTCTGTCCCCCTCAGGCATTCAGCTGCCCACAGGGTTCCTGCACCCTGGAAAAGCCCTCGCCCCTTCTCTGGGAAACTGAGAGGTGTCTTCTGCAGCCTCTGATGTGGACCTGGTACTGAGGAGTGAGACTGTCCAGTTCTCCACCGCATCTGCCATCCCCGAATCAGGACCTGGGACCAGCAGAGTCCCCTCCTGCGTCTTGTCTCCTGCAGCAGCAGCTGCTCAGCTCCAGCCATCAACATGGTGGGAGGCAGGGGGGCTTTAGCCATGTCCTAGCTCCTCACCCTAAAAGGAGGCAGCAAGGACTGGGCACTCAGCTTCCTCCGAGGTTGCTTCTGCCCAGATGACACCTGCCTGTTCACACCCCAAGGCAGCCACTGCCCCCAACTCTTCCCACCAGTGTGGCTTTGGGCACTGCAGCTCTGGACTCTTCTGGCCCCTCCTGAGATTACCTAGACGGAGCTGATGCTTTCCCTCCTGGTCACCTGGGCACTAGGCTTATATCAACGTGCTTGAGCCAGCTCTCCTGCCTCTGTCTAGAGGAAGCCAGAGACAGAAACAGGCTAAGCCTGCAGCATGGCCTAAGCCACGAGGGCCCTGCAGGATGGAGCTGGGTCAAGAACCGGGAGCCCCAAGTCACAGAGGCTATCCCCGGGAGCAGAAGGGACCCTTCATCCAGAACCTAAGGGCTGCAGCGAAGGCTTCCAGGAACCTCGAAGATGCTTTCAGCTCACCTCATTTCACTCCATGCTCTGCTGGCTGGCAGAGGAGAAGGCAATCGTTTCCTCTCTGAAGAGTAATATTTTTTTTTTTGCCCTCTGGTTAGGGTGCACATATAAATCAGAGTTAATATATGAACACGTGTGCATGCATGAGCATGTGTGTGCCTCTGTGCTGTGCGTGGCAGGGAGTGTGCATGCATGTCTGGCTGTGCATTCTGGAGCATGTGACGATGCTGACTTAGCTGTGTGGCCCTTGGCTTGCTGCTTCATTGCTCACCTGGATGGGAATGAGGGGGATAAGAAGAATGAGTGGGGTGTGGGTTTGGCCCATATCACTGGCCAGAAGCATGCAGCTTAGCCCTGCCCTGTGGAGGCCCCCACAGAAGGCTGCCCCATCTCCTAGTCCTCGTCTGTCTCCACAACGCTGTCGCTGGTCAAGCACCGCCCAGAGCTGAATCCTGTAGCTTCCCCTTTGCCCTATGTGGGATTCACAGTCTCATTTGGTGACATCTTATGGGTGATCATCTCCTCACCCCATCTTCCACCTTGTAAAATAAATACATGTTAGCACTTCCCAGAGCAGCCTCCTTTGTGTCTTGACTTCCCCAGAACTGGAAGTTTGGAGGGGAGTGATGGAGACATGCGGGGGGGGGGGGTTGGCTTCTTTGGCATTGAGAGGTTGCTGTTATTTATTTATCTATTTATTTATGACATGGGGTCTGGCTCTGTCAGGCTGGAGTACAGTGGTGCAGTCATGACCCGCTGCAGCCTTAAACTCTTGGGTTCAAATGATCCTCCCACCTCAGCCTCCTAAGTAACTGAGGTGACAGGTACACAACATGTCTTTTTAATTTTTTAATAAGATTCTTGGCCAGGCATGGTGGCTCATGCCTGTAACCCCAGCACTTTGGGAGGCCAAGGCAGGCGGATGACGAGGTCAGGAGTTTGAGAACAGCCTGGTCAACATAGTAAAACTCCATCTCTACCAAAAAAAAAAAAAATTAGCCAGGCATGGTAGTGGGCACCTGTAGTTCCAGCTACTTGGGAGGCTGAGGCAAGAGAATCACTTGAACCAGGGAAGCGGAGGTTGCAGTGAGACAAAATCCTGCTGTTTTGTCATGAGGGGTGGTGAATCTTAACCATCAGAGCCTGAGGGTGATGGTGGAAAGAGCTAGATATCTTCAGATCCCCTGTGTGAGGTTGGTTAAGGGAGAGCTGGAGACAGGGCTTTGGGACAGATCCTTGGGGTGTGGAGCCCACAGCCTCCAGTCCCACAGGACAGAGTCAGCAAGTCAGAGCTTACACTCACCGCACTTGGGGCCCATTTGTACTTACAAGACTGCACCCTTGAGGTAAAGACATCAGCAAGCATCTTGGAACTTGAGAGAGATGAGTACCCCTCTTTTTTTTTGAGACAGCCTCACTCTGTCACCAAGGCTGGAGTGCAGTGGCACAATCTCAGCTCACTGCAACCTCCACCTCCTGGGTTCAAGCGATTCTCCTGCCTCAGCCTCCCGAGCATCTGGGATTACAGGGATGAGCCAAAACACCCAGCTGATTTTTATATTTTTAGTAGGGACAGGTTTTCACCATGTTGGCCAGGCTGGTCTGGAACTCCTGACCTCAAGTGATCCATCTACCTTGGCCTCCCAAAATGCTGAAGTTACAGGCATGAGCTACTGCGTCTGGCACCCCCTCATTTTTAGGGCCACACTGTGGCAGGACAAGATGTCCCAGTTTGCTTGTTTATGTGGCATGGAGGCTGCTGGCTCAGGACCCCTGGGAGATTCTCTGACACCAGCATGTGTGCTCTGAGCTCTGACCCTTGGTTACAAGGTCCTATAACCTAGGTGGCCTGTTCACATCAGCAACATCTGCCAGCAGCTTCCCCCCATGGGACTGGAATACCTGGGGAGACTGCTCAGAGCTTGAGGCCAGCATCACAGGACAACCCCCTCTTGACTGCATGGGATCCCATCTGGGCCTGATGGCACTGGGAGTGGCAAGGGACCAATGCAGAGAAGAGGAGTTGATGAAGCAGGAGAGAATGAGGAAAAGGAAAAAGAAGTAGCACCCTGGTGGGGAGGAAATAATTGGTCCTAAGTCCTTTGGGAGAATTTAAAAGTTCTGGATGGCTGGGTACAGTGGCTCACATCTGTAATCCCAGCACTTTGGGAGGCTGAGGAGGGCAGATCACTTGAGGTCAGGAGTTCAAGACCAGCCTGGTCAACATGGTAAAACCCCATCTCTACTAAAAATACAAAAATTAGCTGGGCGTGGTAGCATGAGCCTATAATCCCAGGTACTTGAGAGGCTGAGACAGGAGAATTGCTTGAGCCCAGGAGGCAGAGGTTGTAGTGAGATGAGATGGTACCACTGTGCTCTAGCCTGGATGATGGAGCAAGACTCCATCTCAAAAATAGGTAAATACACAGATAAATAAAATAAAAGTTCTGGAGACCCCTAGGAGTTTGAGACCAACCTGACCAACATGGTGAAGCCCCATCTCTACTATAAATACAAAAATTAGCTGGGCATGGTAGCGTGACCCTGTAATCTCAGTTACTTGGGAGGCTGAGACAAGAGAATCACTTGAGCCCAGGAGGTGGAGGTTGTAGTCAGCTGATATTGCACCACTGCACTCCAGCCTGGGTGATGGAGCAACACTCCATTTTGAAAAAATAAATAAAATAAAAGTTCTGGAGATCCCTAGGAGTCCGAGAACAGCCTTGACAACATAAAAAAAAAAAAACCTCGTCTCTTAGTAAAAAATACAAAAATTCACCAGGTGTGGTAGCATGAGCCTGTAATCCCAGCTACTTGGGAGGCTGAGGCAGGAGAATCTCTTGAGCCCCAGAGGCGGAGGTTGCAGTGAGCCAAGATCGCACCACTACATTGCAGCCTGGACAACAGACTGAGACTCTGTCTCAAAAGCAAAAACAAAGAAAAAAATAAGTTCTGGAGATCCTGTATCTCTGCACAGGGATGGCCAGGGCAACAAACTGCAAGCCTTGAGCTCCAGGGAAATCTCACCCTCCTTCATTGTGTCAGCTTTTGGCATCATCTATAGTTTGAGACGTGACAGATCTGTTTCCTGATCTGAGCACCCATCATGGTCCCCCCTTCCCCAGGAGAATGCGGGAAAGGAAGGAAGCCAGGCTCTGGCTATGTTATCCTCCCGCCCTGACCGGCCCCTTCCCCTCACGCCAGAGCTCCCATCCTCCACCATCTGTGGCCATTTCTTTCTCTTTCCTCTAATTTTTTGCCACTCAATGTATATGGAAAAAAAAAAAAGTTGCAGACGGTCGTCCTGATCAATGCTCAAGCTGTCAAAGCCATGCCTTCGAATCTCTGTGGTTTCAGATATCTCATATGCTTTCTTTCTGGTTAGATAAACACTGGGGGGTAGAGAAGGAGAAAAATTGGAAAAGACAGAGCCAGCACACTGGGGGCCAGCCGCCGCCCTTTTAAGCTACTCCAAGCCTTCGTATGTGGGTTTCTGAGGCCATTATTTTTTATCTGATATTTTTTTTAATCATCCTTGAAAAACAATGTGGTTTCATAAAGTGAGGCCCCTGGGCAGAGCAGGCCACTCCCACAGGGCTGCAGTGAACGAGCTGTCCCTGATTGATGTGCTGTTTCTCCTCTCTCCTCTTTGCCAAGGCTTTTTTGGGAAGGCTGGGGTCACAGCCAGCCAGGAAAAGGCTTGCAAGGGGCTTGGAGTCTGTGTGCAGAACTGGGAGGTTCATGAAGCCTTTCCAGGCTTCAATAAGCCCAGTGGCTGGAGCTAGGAGCCTGGTCCCTCTTGGCTGTCAGGGTGTCAGCCTCATGTTTTATCTGAGCTCCCATGGCAGGCAGATTATCAGTTCTTAATGTCCCACAATCATGAATCTCTGAGTGTCTTGGTTTCCCTGTTTTCTCACTTCTCAGATAAGTCTCCTTAGACCCAAGGTTGGGGATCACTGCTCAAACCCAAACTGCAGAGGTGTATTTCAGCTCTGTTCAACAAATTTATTTGGACACCTCTGTGGTTTGCTCCTTACAATTTTTTTTTTCTTTCTCTCCCTGCCCTCCTCCTTCCTTCCTTCCTTCCTTCCTTCCTTCCTTCCTTCCTTCCTTCCTTCCTTCTTTCCTTCTCCTCCTCCTCCTCCTTCTTCTCCTTCTCCTTCTTCTTCTTTCTTTCTTTTTCTTTTGTTCCTTCTCTTTTTCTTTTCTTTTCTTTTCTTTTTCCTTCCTTCCTTCCTTCCTTTCTTTTTCTTTTGTTCCTTCTCTTTTTCTTTTCTTTTCTTTTCTTTTTCCTTCCTTCCTTCCTTCCTTTCTCTCTCTCTCTCTCTCTCTCTCTCTCTCTCTTTCCTTCCTTCCTTCCTTCCTTCCTTCCTTCTTTCTTTCTTTCTTTCTTTCTGTCTTCCTCTGTTTTCCAGGCTGGAGTGCAGTGACGCCATCTTGACTCACTGCAACCTACGTCTCCCAAGTTCAAGCAATTCTCCTGTCTCAGTCTCCTGAGTAGCTGAAATTACAGGTAACTGCCACCACACCTGGCTAATTTTTGTATTATTAGTAGAGATGGACTTTCACCATGTTGGCCAGGCTGGTCTCGAACTCCTGACCTCAAGTGATCTGCCCCGCTTGGCCTCCCCGAATGCTGGGATTCCAGGTGTGGGCCACTGTGCCTGGCCTTTACAATTTCTTGGAAAATGAAGAGAGAGAGAGAGAGAGAGAAAAGGAGGAGGGAGATTGAGTTGAAATGCACTAAGTGCAAGGCACTGTGATGAAGAGAGAAATATGTGTTTTGCCCTTGGAATCTCCTATTTGGAAGAGGAAAACAGAAGCGACATATGGGGCTTCCACCCTGTAGCCCAAGCAGTTATGAAACAGGGTATGTGCCTATTGGCATGAATGGGGCTCTAGGCATATTAGGAGATTCCAGTGTTCTTTCCCCTAAAGAGGCACCAGCCAATGGATGGACCTCACACATGTGGCTTCCAGCTTGACTTCCTATGCTGGGTATTGATATAGCCTCCCAATACTGATTGCCCAAAAGCAAGGAATGAAGAATGGAAATAAGGAGACCCAAAGAGGGATCAGTGAGGCTGTGGATGGTTCCAGAAGACAGGATACTGTCTTGCCTCACCAGAGATTATTATCATCCCTAATAAATGGTTAATGGGCTCATATTCCTCCAAGAAAGCAATCTCATCTTACCTGATCCCCCAGTGGACGCCCGCCCACCTGTCCAGGTAATCAATCACTCAGTATCTGCTTGATAAACTCTGAAGACAGGTTGTTCTAAGGGAGAAAATCTCTTTCTGACAGGGAGCCAAGACCAATCTGAATCTCAAGAGTGTCTTCCCACTGTGCAGCCTTCTGGAGGCTGAAGGCAAGTCTCAACTTTCTGTCACCTGATGAGATTTAAACCTACTGTGCAGGCCGGGCAGAGCACTCACACCTGTAATTCCAGTGCTTCCAGAGGACGAGGTGGGAGGATGCTTGAGGCCACGAGTCTGAGACCAGACTGGGCAAAATAGCGACACATCTGGCTGGGCGTGGTGGTTACACCTATAATCCCAGCTCCTTGGG